GTGGGAAAATAAGGTTTGTCCCACATAGAAAAAATATGAAAGTAAGAACCACTTTAAATATGGTTGCACATTGGAAGGGTATAAGCATGTGTAGCATAGAGGTTATCACCACGTGTGCGCGTAGAGGGGTGCAAATCATGGACTGAAACAGCCTACGGACCTTGAACTTATGTGTTGGTGAGACTTGCGTACACGAATGTCAGACCGAACGGAGCAAAATTGGCCCGTTTGGAGTGTTCACGTTTTGCAAATTTTTTCTTGCTTTCTTCACTAATTCTTCAGTTTTCGAAGCTGTAGAAGCTAATGTAACTCCAATGGTTAATACACGGATTAAGTCTATAAAATTAAATTTAGTTTCCAGCAATTTTCACAGATGAAAATCGTCCTCTTCCTCTCTACACTGCTCATAAAATTACAAGCACTTTCTATCCATCGCCAATAAGGCCGTTGTGGTGATATTGTTTAGGCGCTAAATCAGTTTGCTGGAATAGTTTCTGTAGTGCTCAGATTCTACGGATTTTACCGTTATATTCTGGAAAACAGACGCTCGGACTAGACTTCAAGCACTTGCGTGAGGAAGCAAATCTATTTTAAGGAAACTGTGCTCGCACAAGTCTCGGGTTTAAAATTTATTTATCTTCTACAATTTACATATTTACAATTTATCTGAAGTTTAATCATATGTTTCGTATATTTTGCAGTTTATTTTGTTATCTATGATTTATGTAATTTACAGATTATTGTCTTTTCGTCAAAAGAAAATAAAAAAAATCGAGAAAAAAAAGTTATTTTTGCTAACAGTTTAACAAGTGCAAATTCGGTATATGTAAGATACATATACAGTATTTCTAATTGTAAGTGCAAATTCTATGTTATTTTAGTTATTGTTTGAATATAAACAGTATGTAAAAATACAGTATATATGAAAAGGGTAAAGAAAATATGTGCAAATACGGTCAAATGCATATACGGTAAGCTGCAAATACGGTAAGTTGCCTGCAAATATGGTAGACTACAAATACGATAAGCTACATATACGGTATACTTAAAACTGGTATCTAAACTACATATACAGTATGTGATAATCAAGTTTCATTAACACCACCATATTCCAACAAATATGTGTAATGATAGCATCCACTAATGTATACACTTGTACAGCCTCTCGGGTGAGATGTACAAAATTATAGAAATCATGATCTCTGGCTATGTGTACAGTTCAATTGTTCTATTGAGCTTTACACTTCTTTAGAATACTTTCCTTGAGTATTCTGTATCAGAAATAGATCTTTCATGGCATTCTTTTATATTAATTGGAAATGACATTGCATATTGTTTCTCCTTAATTGCTTAAATGGCACATTTATTGAATACTTTTTATTTTAATATAGTTGCAACCTGAAAATGTCAAAATAATTCTGATATGTTCACTTTTCAAATTCTATCTATAGTGCTACAACAATAATTTCAGGAAAAGAGAGATAAAATTGTATAGTGACATCCTGAAAAGGAAAGCTGAATTGGAAACTGTAATAAAAATATTCTTTATTTTTGATGTAATGGCCCAGTTCACAGAAATGATTTCATCATGGATGATTTCCTGACATATTTCCCAGTAGAATTGCATAATAGCATTGCGTATTTGCCATATATGGACTTGCATGTGTCTAGCTCAAGCTTAATTTTCAAAAGGTACAATCTGATCGAACTTGAGCTTAACTTCGAAGTTTGCACTGCCTTGTCTTTGAGCTTAAACCAGAATGAAAGATTGGACATCAATCGCTTGTGTTTTACCCAGTTGGGCTCAGGTTGTTTAAGCTATAGTTTTTGCCATAGTTACCATGACAATCTTGATTGCTGAGGCCATTTAATTGAATGCTTTTATAAGATGATGGTATTTCATATAAATATATATGTTGCTGTTGGTTATCTGTCAAAAAGCTTCTACAGGTTTGTATTTAGACATGTTGAAAGGGATGGGGAAATTGCTTATTCACTACTATACTTTCACTTGGAGCATTCATACTTCCTTGCACAATACAGAAGATACTGAAGAGGTTAATAAACATCCTGAAGTACAAGGTGGAGAAAATAAATCATTCAAACTGATAAAATACATATGGCTGCAAAACTTTTACATTCTGATATAAATGCTACTGTCGCATCTCTATCCATCTTCTTGGAGCAGACAATACTTTCCCATGTGGATAAGCTCAAGCTAGAGTAGAATTTGTCCTATTTAGGTACTGGTCCAGTTGATCGAGAAAGAATGTTCAAATAAAAGCCTTTCCAAGTGTTATAGTTAGCCTAAATTGCTACTGTAAATAGATGGTTCATATATATATGCTCGTACCTTTTCATTAAATAAAACAGGAACTTGTTGGGCTATATAGCGTCTCTATGCAATTTGTCTTCAGTAATTTTAGTATCTTACTGAGTTACTGTCAATGATTCGATATTAAGTAATATAGTTTTTTTCTAGAAACTGCTAAATCAGATATTTACTCACGTTTTGGAGAGTTTCTGTGTGCACATGTATTATGTGCAGAGAGCTGGATTGTGGATAGACTAAGGTAACTAACAGCAGAACCGAAGCAATTTGTGGCTTAAATTGCAGGGAAAAGTCGTCCCTCCTAGGGGACCAAATGATTTTGGTTGGGATCCAATCTTTCAACCTGATGAGCATGACCAAACGTAAGTACACCTCCCGACTCTGTGGCTCATTTCCTGAGTGTTGCGACACATGGTTTTGTTTATTGGTGACGTGACAAAAACAAGCTAACTTAATTATTCTTGTTTCAGTCATGCTGAAATGCCCAAGGAAGAGAAGAACAAAGTTTCTCACCGTTCACAGGCTCTTGCTTTGGTGAAATCCCACTTTGCTGAGACTAAATACACTTTCGTAGACAGAGCCAACCATCCAACAGTGAGATGTGTGCTTTCTTGGAACCACGTATTTCGATTTATAAAAAGTACATGCCATTGAAGATATACAGTCAATTGATTATTACTTTTGCTGGTAACTTCTAAGAGATGTAGGGATTATGATTGTTATATCAAGTTGGTGAAATTTAAATGAATAACTGGTTACGCCTGGCATTTGGTAGCTATATGAAGATGGCGTGGATTGTCTTGATTCAATAGATTTATCGTTTAACCTCGTGACTATCAAGATTTCCCCTCGTGGAAATAATCCCTACCCCACAACCCAAACTAAAATTAACCAATCTTCTTGTCTGATATCTAGAATGATTTCCACCGCTTATGTCTGTTCACTGTTGCAACCTAATACCTGTATGAAAAACCCAACCCACTAATCAAGAATTGATAGAAAGGCTGAATATTTAGGTGAGACACAAAATGACTTTCTAACTGAGTTATGAATCTACACTAGGTTGTACAATTAGACATTGTATTAGTTCATACATCATGACAAGAATTCAATCTCTCTAAATAGGTAGCTAACCAACTTCTAGGAGAGACATAATTAACTGCATTAATCTCGATAGCTACGCTACCCACAGAATTTAAAGAACCTAAAGGAGCATAAGTCATATATTCTGTGAAACGCAATAGTTCATGGCATATTAGAAGTAGAAGGCGTTTTGATGAGATCTTCACAGACATAAACAAATTGCAGTCAGTTTGATAATGACCGAGTGACATTGCTTCTCCAAGAAAGTGAAAGAATAATGCAGCTAGATGCTGAACCTTAGCTATGTACACTTGGACTGAATATGACAGCTGCATTAGGGTCTTAATATACATGTACATATAACATGGATAGGCTGCATTTGCATGTGGGCTAGCTGGTGAATGCATTAAGAATTGGCCCCCAAATGTTAAGCCTCGCATGCTTTGTGGACCCCACCTCACATGCATGACTACTGTGTTTGAACCATCTTTGCACGTGAGTTGAATACTCAGATCACCTTCAATCCCCAAGTGTCAGCATTTCGTTAGGTTCACGATCACATCTTGGATGCCGTATGCTCGATATCTTATGTTTGATAAGGTGGACTGAGAAACGTTGAATAATATTATTCACTAAGAAAAGTTAAAAATCTTGTCCATTGTATCAAATATGTCTTCATGAGTTTTATGTCGTGTCGAAATAATAAGCAAAAATAAGATTAAAAAAACCCACCATTAATGATTCTTGGTGGGAATAATTTTCTCCACCAAACAAGGGATTTTGAGCATTAATCTCTTGAGGTACATGGTTCGTATACTGTTATTGACCGTGTGTGAATGGTACTTTTGTGTGATCTTTTGCATATGTGATTTGGCCTCTAGTGAATCTTTTTAGGGTGGCGTGACAAATAATGTCGAATTAAGCTCCTTATACGGGTAAGTATATAGAAATTTTTACAAATGATGAGATGACAACACTTGATTGGTTAGTTTGAAATTTTTTGTCCAACATCCAAAGAAATCCTGCCAATTAACAATCTGTCGAACTGTAGAGCAAAAATTTTTGTGCATGTAGCATGATTTAATAATATCTATAAAAATTTAAGGAAATTCCTTTATTTGCAGTACAAAATTAGAACAAGCCATAAAAGGAGTGAGTAAATACTCTTTTCTACTTAAACCTTGTCCATAGTTCCTTTTCTTCTGTTAATTCGAAATTAACCTTTTCATCTGTATCCACACAAAATTTTCTCATTGGAGACTCATTTCACTTCTGTTTCTCATCATTTCCGACCTGTCTCCCTCTAGCAATAATTATGGTCGAGGCAAAATTTCAAAATATTTACCATTCTGAATCTTTAATAATCATTGGTGAATAGGATTTGCTGGTAATTTGTCATTTCTATAAGATCATGAAGAATAAAAACACTCATGATTAAGGCTAATGCTGCTTTTCACATGCAGTAATTATCAAAATTAACAGCAGAAAAGAGTAAAACTCATACCGAAGGGAGATATATGTATGTATCTACAATCAGTACAGACACGATAATTCATTTAGCCAAAAGGACAAGATTGCAGAAAAGTAAAGAAGAACAGGCAATGAACTTTGATAGTATGCATCATGTATTCCAAAAGTCTTTAGCTTTTGATAATTCGAGTTTGGACATTCACACTATGGACTGTATGACTAGAGAAAATCTAAAATACAAAAAAAGGGGGGGGGGGGGGGGGGGGGATTACAAAATCATCATAAAGTTTCTATAAAAGACTTTGCCAGCACCATATGTAGACTGATGAATCTTACAGCAGATAACAGGAATATGGTGGGGTTAGGAAATGGATGAGGCTGAGAAATCTTGGCCTTTGATAGAATGTGGAGAAAAAGATAGGGATTTGAACAACGCATCAGCGCCTGCTCCCTGGATACAATTTTTTATCTTTCGACTGAAGCTGGCCGAGGTTGCACAACAATGGTGATAATGTGATAAAAAGTAGTGGACAAAGATGAACTTGATGAGTGAATAGAAATGTACACTTGCCAATAGAGTAAGTAAAACAGAGAGATGACAGAGAAACAATGGATGTAATATGGATATAAAGTAATGCTTTGTAGTGGAAATGGAATCGTTCTTTATGTAATTGGGCAAGATTGTTAGCACTGGCGGCCCCTGCGGCAAGTTAGGGCACCAGCACCAGAAGTAATAGAGCTAATCAGTGATGAAGGCTTGGCACCTAAGCTTGAAGCTCTGGCATAACTGGCTGAAGCTCCTGCTCCGGATGGGGTGAAATATGCCCCATTAAGCATCAGATCACCTTCTGACCTCCAATTCCAACCCTTCCATTGATTTTCAGCAGTTTCAACTCTCTTTGTCACCTAATCAAACCGGTTCAACATAAATTTAATTAAATTGTTTTTAGTACCGATAATCTTTTGCTGATTAACAGGAATCATGATGTTGTAGTACCTCTTTAGCGAAAGGGTTGACTGGGGCAAGATATCTGTTTCCCTGGCTGTTAATGGTCGGCTCTGCACTTCCACCAATGGCGTACATCTCCCAGTGAGTGTAGTCGTTGTTCACCACATGGAAGTAACCGTGTCTGCACCTGCATTTTCCATAATGGTTCTCTTATTAGATTACAAAGCCGTTAAACACAACTGATGCCTAAAACAGTGCCATTTAACATGAAAGTTTACTAATTACCTTGGCATTCTCTGAATGAGACCTTCTCCAAAATGGTTGTAGGCAATAGTTACTTGCATTTGCTTGTCTCTCACATAAGTGTCACTGTGACCTAACAGTATAACCTGTTTCCATTAACACACAACACATCAGCATAATCCAAAAGGGTAAATTCTTACAGCAAATAGCGGAGAGAATCCAGGATCGAGAAGGTGGATGGAGGGAGGGAGGGTTCCCAAGTTGACACACCTCGTTGTGGTGGGTAAAAAAATTGTTGGAGATGGTAATGGCAGTCGAGCCCATGACAGCGTCAACAAGGCCATCGGCACAGTTAGAGAGTGAGTTATGATCTACCCAAATATGGCTTGACCCGAAGATGGAAATGGCATCACCATCAGCTATAGTCCTCCAACCATAATGTGATGGTGAACTCCTTACCATAGCATTTCCAGTTGGTTTACAATCATGGATGTGCAGGCCATGAATAATCACATTAGTAATGAACTGAATCGTAATACACCCTCCATTAGCAATGTGCACATTGACTCCACGCCCATCAATGGTCTTAAAGCTGTTCATTATGAGTTCCTGCTTCAATGTTATAACCATGTCACGCTTGAACACAATCCAGAGAGGCTCATCTTGGATAACAGCGTGGCGTAGAGTGCCAGGCCTCGGGTTAACAGTGTCATAATCGCCAGGATCAGTGACTACATAGAATCTTCCATCCCTACCACCAATCGCATTGCGCCCAAAACCGATACCACAGTCAGCCAGGTGCTTACGATTCTGTTGCCATTTGGGGTCACAACGCCAACAATCATCAATAGGGTTACCCGTGGCACATGAGAAAAATCCGAGCTTTCGCCTCTCGGTGCTGTTTCTACTGATCCTGTGAATACACAACTTTTCATTAATTGCGTTTCGTGTATTTCACACGCACTCATGCACATACACGACTACAATATTCAAATGACACGTGCACAAGAAAACAATCAAATGATAACTTCACATTATTAAACTACATGGATTAACACGTCAAGGAAAAAGAATAGGAATTTATAATTGTCAATTTTAAGGAAAAGTTAAGTTCTGTATCACATTCTTCTAACAAACTGCATAATCAAGATCAGTATTGACCTGTAGTAGTAAAAGTTAAACTGCACATGACAAAAGAATCATGATCATTAAACTATCATAGAAAAATACCCACTCAATAAAAAGTAGTAAAATATTGGATCATTAATAGATGCTAATTAGCATGCGACACGGATCTTACTACAGAAGCATGTGGATGGACTGAACTTCAACACATGAAATATCCAAAATGCATCAGTTAAGAATATGATTCTCAAACTCAACGCCACCATTAACAAAATTTTAGCTTCTTTTTCATTTTCAGAAGAGTCATCTTGTGACCTTACCAAACAGTTCTTACTAGGCCATGTGGGTTAGGTTCAGTAGATCTGCTTTATAATACGGAAAGGGGGTTTTCAATGCATGGACCACAAGAAGAACAACTAATGGTACTTGTCTACTAAATGCACATAAAGTGATTTTGAAGAATTCTAAAAAGAAAAAATTAAAGGAACAATAAACAAAATGAGACAGATTGAACCCACATTTCAACTGCTAATGGTACTTGTCTACTAAATGCTCATAAAGTGATTTTGAAGAATTCTTAAAAGAAAAAATTAAAGGAACAATAAGCAAAATGAGACAGATTGAACCCACATTTCAACTGATGCAGCAACCTCTTCTGGGTTATCCACTGCATGTTCATTCAAAGGCTCCTCTTCATTTTCTCCTAACCTGAACCATCAAATATTTGTTACACATAAACACACAGTTACACAAGTTACAACAACAAACTAAGCTTCGTTCTATCTCAATAAATTTGGGTCGTCTACATCAATACTATTTAAAACCATTAATGTTACAAAATCGATCTAGATGGCACTAATAGTCAATGAAGATTACAATTAAATGGATCATATAATTTCACTTTTAATTGAACATATCATATAATGTCACATAGACGAATGATATTATTTTTTATTTTTTGTGTTAGAAATCCGAAAGAGTATTTATTGTTTCACATGGGATGTCAGCAACCGACACTTGTAATTCAGCAATATTTGGCGGAGGAAAAAGTGGGGTGGTGACACATTGACACAAAAAAGTAAAAGCACTGCCAAAAACACACACAGAGAACTGTACACTGCTTAAAATAGTGGTAAAAGTAATATACACATACATCTACACATACAAATATTTACCACTTAAACCGTCAAAAAGTGCTATTTTCTAGAGGGGTCAACTATAACTGACTTTAGGGCGAGGTGACACGGAGGAATGTGTAGCGAAAGTACTAAAATGCCCTGACGGCATTTCTTATGATTAAGTAGTTGATATGGAATAAACGGAATAGTTAGAGGGTAATTATGTGAAAAGAGTGGTTCGGGAGCCAATGATGATTTTCTATACGGAGGAATCCGAGGAGACTACGGAATAAACGGTTGAGATCTGGTAAATATTGGATCTGAACATTTGGGATTCATTCTTTATGGAATGAATTAGAGATCCAACGTCTTACATTTAAGCTGTTCTTACTAGGCTAGGATTGGAGGAGAATGAAATAATCCAATGAAGATTAAGAAAATGATCAGGTGCCGTATCAACTCTGTAGTAAAAAAATGCTGAGTTTTCCTAACCTTGCCGCCATTGTTGAGTTTTCCGAGCTATGCAACTGCTCTGTTTCTACAGCACTGTTAAATCAGTTAAAAAACAGAGCTCAATTAATTTTTTTCCTCTAAAATTCTGCAAACCGAAGCGCAAATTGCGTAAAATGCAGGTGAATTTTGATCATGAGAGGGAAATATATTAGCAAAAATAACAATTCACATTCGAACAAAGATCACAAAAGAACAAATGCACAAATGCATACACTCACACTCGGTTATAAACAGCAAATTCCGAACGGTGAGAATGCATTGAACAAACCAAATGCAGAAAATTCCAATAAGTTTGAAGGAAAACAAACCTCATTTTTGAGGCTTCATCTTTCTGAACTCTGGCTATGACGCTAATGAAGAGCATTAACAGTAGCAAAGAACAAAGAGACACACATTTCTTCGAAAATCCCATAGCCAATTGCACAACTCTATATCTCTCTATATATATATACGTATAATGGGGCAGAAATTCGAATAGAAAAAATGGAAAATTCTTACGATAAGAGAAGAGAGAATGCAGGGACAGGGGAGAGAGGAAAGACGAAGCATTAGATGCAACTTAACGGCCTCGTTTTATAGACCGTGAATTCGCAAACCGTTAAAACTAACGACCGTTAACTAACTAAAATTTCCATTGACCATGGTTAAGGTTGGCTAACTATGGTTAGGATTTTACTTACTCCACCATTAAGTTTTAACCACCTTACTAACTACTGCAAACCGATGCATGTCCCTGTCACGTGCCTTCTTTCCTCTGTTAGGCACAATAAAATCTCTAAAAAATAAAGTTGGGATCAAGAAAAATTACTAGTTCAGAAAGATTATTAACTTATCGATAATTGATTAATTTATTGATAGATTAAGTGAAATCATTTTTAATCAACCTTAAATAATTATTTTAGATAAAATAAAAAAATACAACAAAAATGATAAATGCATTGTGAAAAATTAGGTTTGAGGGCGAGTTCAATTTGAGTATAAAGAAAAAGCAAGCAACTTTTATTCATATTTTTTTTATATAAAAAGTTGATTTGGAAAAATAAAAGTCAAATAAAAAGTTCTTATAAAAATTTACTCAATTAATTACTTATTATTTTATATTTTTCCTTAGGCCATGAAGAATTTTAAATGAAATTATTGTCTTGTGCATTTAGTGGAATTATTAATTTGGAGAGTGAGTGTCCTCAACTGAAAATTTTGTTTTAAATGTTTTTAAGTTTGGAATTTGTCCAAATCTTTTAATTTTTGTTTTTAAAATTCATCAAAATCTCAGTTAAGAACACACTCCTAAAACTTTACGACATTTGGCCAGCATCATTTGTATTACTCAACTCATAAGTTTAAAACCATTTGTTACTCTTCAACAAATAATATTTTACTTAAGTCCCATTTTTTGTCCAAAATGCATTTTAGAATAATATTTTGATGAAGAATGTGTGATTAAAAAATAAGAAAATATTTTAGGTTTACGTGTAATATTATTTATTGAAAAATGTGCAGTAAAAAATAAGAAAGAAAAATATATTTTAAAAATATTACGGATACCAAAATTATTGGTTTTGACTCCACAAACTAGGTACTATATTGTTATTATTGATACAAAATTAGTAATACCCAAACAAACCCTTAAGTACGTTGATTAGTTATTACTGTTTACAACTACTTCTTCACTACAATAGACAAAGTAGAATTACTAGTTGCCACTTGGGATGAGGCCGTTTACAGAGGGAGGTGATACGGTACCGTTTCAAAGCAGGAACAGTTTTCCCGGGCCACAGCTGATTCAACGGAATTATTGGGTTACTACAACAAAGACAAATTTTGTATTTATCTTTATATTTTATTAGGGTTGAAGTTAAAAAATAATTTCAAGCATTTGGATGTGTTTGGAGTGGAGTTTAAGGCATTTTTTTCTGGGGCTTGGATCGAGGTAAGCACTAAATCGTCGTGTTCTTGATTCGATAAGACGAACCTTTCCTCGTATGAGTTTTGGTCATTCCTACTACATGTTCTGATCTAATATTCCGGGCAAATATGACAAGACTTTTGAAATTATTTCTGAGTTCAGAGGTTAAAACTGAAACTGAAGCAAAATCAGAAGTACTGGTAAATATATTATTTTTTGGATAAATCTACATGTACATAATTTTTTGTACATAAAAGATGAGGCGGGTTCATCATAATAAAATATTCGAATGGACCTCATCCCATGTGAGTGAAGGACATCTTGATGTAAAAAAATTATGTACATCAATCAAGGCCCTTATTTTTTCTGGGTCTTATATGTAAGTTGTATAACTCTTGAATAAGATGGAGAAATTAATTTATTAACGAGATTATAGTTTCTAAAAGTGGGATGAGCAAAATTAAGTTGAGATTTATAACTTTATACTTTATAGAGCCACGTATTGGATTGGATTACACCTTTTGGGGCACTGTATATTATTCTTTCCATGCAAATGCAATGTGGCTTCCATCATAACCATATTTCATGCTTGTAATATATTACCTAAATATTCCCATATTTTTACTCTTCCTAACATGCCCAAAAAGGTTCATCCAATTCCATGGCATGCTCCATTCAATGATGGTTAATTACATTAATAGTTATAAATTTCATCTTCTTAGTGAAAATTCTCGTTCAAATGCAACTTGTAATGTATTGTTTTTGAAAAGTGCATACTTAAATTTTAATGTACAAGTAAAATTCTTGTTCGAAGGCACTCAAGGAGGTCCCCTTCCACCACTTTACCTTATACAGATGCAATATCGTCGTAAATGATAGTGAATCAATATGTGCAATATATATGTTCATCGTCGTAATATCTTAGGTATGAATTTAATTGTTTTGATCGTTTGTAAATAAACTAATCGTGTTATGCTTCTAGCCTCTAGGTTCGGACACTCGTGTGGAGAGAGAGAGAGAGAGAGAGATTTTGTTACCTTTCACTTAACTAACATGTTTTTACATATAATGAAAAGTGATAGAGAGATTTTGTAGGCTATGTTTGGCCAAAGCCATACAAATAACTTTCCTTACCTTTTTTCTAAAGTGGGATATAGTTGAGATCCAACTTGTTTTACTCTTATTAATCGGACCTCAGAATTTGATGTAAAGTTGACATTGTCAATATTTTTATAATCGAAACAAGATTAACTCAGTCGCCAAGAATTTTATTACTTTCATATATCTCAGCATCCTAATTTTTTAAATAGTAGTAAGTTTGTTGACGATTTTAACCTTCGTTAAAATGTGGTCATTCAATGACGGTAAAGAGAAATTGTCATTGTTTATTAATTTATTTTTTATTTTTTATTTATCATACCATCGTGAAAAATGATTAAACGAATTTTCACTATTATAAAATATAGTTTATAACTTTTTGAGCAATTGAAAGCTGACCCACAAGCACAAATAGTTGGCATGGAATTTAAAGCCACAAGCTCATCTTTGTACTTTGCCGTATATACGAAGAAAAAATAGATCTATCTATTTCCTCCTCTAAAACAGATCCATTTTTATTAGTGGTTACTTCATAACGATTAAAATTCTAGATAATAATATTCTTCACCTATCCCGTCCCCTCCAAACTCTTACCCTTGTGCGTACCTAATCATATGTTATGTAAACTAGAATTCTCTAGATATAGAATATGATGAAGTGAAAATAAATTGAATTGGTCATGTTGATGGCACAAAATGTCACTTTGGCCACTCAATGTCCCCTACCATATACATGAAGCCAGGGGCGGACCGGGGGGGGGGGGATTATAGGGGCAATTGACCCTCTAGGTTTTGGGGGAAAAAAATATTTTTGCTTAGCCTTTTTTTTTTTTTTCTAAGCTTTTTTTTTCTAGGTTTTGGGGGAAAAAAATATTTTTGCTTAGCCTTTTTTTTTTTTTTCTAAGCTTTTTTTTATTAGAAGATACTATATAAATTTTATTTTTGACCTCCTAATTTAAGTCGTTTGGGTCCGCCCTTGCATGACGCACATGCAACTTAATTCAACCATAAAATTTGCTCAATAATATAGCAAAAATGCATTGGATAATCCTAAATACACTTATATTTCAGTTGATCTAATCCCACTAATGTATACATACACATATATACACACATGCAAAGTCCAATTAATTAGTTGGTTCATGTAAAATCGACCTTGCACCATGTGTGCAACCCATGTGAACCACCCCATCCATCGCATCATTTACTTTAATTCACTTCTTATCAAGACACGTCATAATAATTGCCAAAATTAAGCAAGAATAAATCTAATAAAGTTTTCCCTTATTTTGAGAATGATGCACGACAGACAAATATCATGAAATTTATATACAGTGTCACAAGACTCTCGTATTTAAATTTTACTCAACTTTCCCTTCTTCTTTTTTTATGATGAACCCGTATATATATTAAGAGAGTGTTTGAGAATCATTTTTATGTAAAAATACATTTTAGAATAATAACTTGATGGGAAGTGTGTGGTTGAAAAATAAGAAAAAGTTTTAATTTACGTGTAATATTATTTTAATAAAGAATGTGTGGTTGAAAAGAAAAGAGAGAAAAATACATTTTTAAAAAAATGGGTACCAAACGAGGGCTAAGATGTAGAACTGAGAATTACATTACAAAATCAAGGTACGGTGATACTAGTACGTAACATACTAATTTTTTGTGACAAATTTTGGACAATAACAAGTTTCTAAGTTGTATCTAATCTAAACATAAATGTCATTCATGGAGAGAAAAAGTGAACCATTGCGTCCCTATTCCTAACTTGTGCTAGGCAGCATATACACATTGAACTTCAAAGCAAAAATAAGGAAAATATTTTCATGTTCACACACGTTAGGTATACAACAAGGCATAAATATAAGGCCATTGTACAACCACAAAGTTAGCAATTATGTGAAGAATTTAATAGCATTGGCAAACCATTTATAATATTATTCCTGATTGGTAATGAGATACAACAGGGACGAGTTAAACTCTTTCGTGCTTGTAAATTATTGACATCAATAATGTTCGATGAGTAATATTGATTATATTAGAGTGGAATAGATTTGAATACAATAAAATAAATTTCATATGCATTGAGAAGGTTTATCCGTGTATGGTCTGAATTTATATCGTCCACCTAAGATTATAATTCTTCGAGAATACAAAGTGGTCTCTTCAAGAAAATTGTTATTAACAAAATTCAACGCTCGTTTATTCTCTCTTCTTAAATTTAAAAAAAAAAAAAAACTATATTGATCGCTTAGGCATTGTCGGGACATTTGTAAATTTTACGACAACCGATTAAGTAAGATGATTTTAAAAGATTATTGTATAATGTGACGGAAAAAGAACATATTAATAGAGAACGAAACATCCCAATTAGAGGAAATATTGGAATTCGGAAGTGGATCCGCTTCATGTGGCGGATCGGGTCTTGCTGAGGTCCGGGTTCCCAGATGGAACCCAAATTGTTGACCAATCAGAGAGAACAACCAAATTGCAACAGATTAGTCACATGGCCGTTACCGATGAATAAGGATGGTCTA